AAACAGAGAAAAAAACAGACATTTACTAAAAAGAAGATAGGGCAAAAATCAGTCATTAAACAAGCAGAGATCTTACTCTTTTCCTTTAAGAGCAGAAAGGTACTGCTGTACAAAATATCAGGTATAGGGGTTTCTAAGGTGAACTAAACATGGCTAACAATGATTAAATGATGTCCTAGTCCTAGTGCTATATCTTAAATAGTGACATGTTATGTTGCTATCACTGCAGAGGACAAATTTCCCCCCATTCATTCTTTGATGGCATAAATTTGCACAAAGCTCCAGAAAATCAAATCCACTTTCTAATAACTTATTACAATAATGATAGTAAATTATGATGATTCAAAACCAGTTGCTGGTTGTTGATAAAAGTTGGTCATTCCATTCCTAGTTTTGGTCTTTGGCTAAAGTCCATCTCCTGTCAAACCACCAAGCAGTTAATTAAAAAAATATTCATGCAAAAGATCGGATAATAAGAAATTTATTAAAATCCTTGCTGCTCTTTAAATCCTGCAATGTCCCTAAAATATTATATACAGAACATGCCAGTTATCATACCTGAACCACAAGGTACTGGTGATTGTGACGTGGGAACTTCCGAACCTCCTTGGCCTTTTTTTCTGTGATCTACATGGCCAAAGCAGTTCTCACACTCATCTTCATCTTCAGAGGATGAACTCTCATCATAGGCACGAGGCTTCTTATAAACACAACAACCTGAAAAATGAGTTCAGTACAGTTAAAGAATTGTACCTGAGGAAACACAAGAAAAAGGATAATGGGTAACTAAAGACAATCATGAATACACTTACATTTTGATTTCCTCTTGTTCATATGTTCATTATCCACTGTATCTGCATCCCACTTAACCTTCTTGTCTGATTTAGGTTTCCTTAATTTTAATCTTACTGCTGCAGGTTCCTGAGGACAAGAAAGTGAAGAGAAGTATTTTTTAAGAAGTGTTTTAAAACAATATTCTAACCATACACAAAATACATTCAGGGTAAGTCACTTCCAGTTCGGTTTTAGATTATTACTTTTTAAAGAGCAGGGCAAGAAATTCAATAACTAAAGAAAGATTTACATTGTCCCAAATGACGTCTCATTCTACCAATCGTCCTAATTTGAAACACTGTCAACTTTTTTCAATGTTTATTGTAAAATGATTGTCTTAGTATAATACATCAGGGCCCGAACCAATTTTTAGAGATAAGACAAGAGGTGCAGTAAAGTAAACATAGATATGTACATAATTTTTTAAATACTTTATTTGGGAAAGTTAACAAGCCGTAGCAAAAAACTACAATAGAAATCTCACAAATACATCAGTACATAGTTTGTTGTTTTTTTAAAAAAATAGACTCCATGATATATTACATTATAAGAAGTGTCACAAAAGAAAACAGGTGTCAAAACAAATGGCAACTAGGCAACTGCCCCAATATTTTTAAGTTGATTGACTTTTTCTGTTGAGTAATGAAGCACATCCATCAAAATCTCTTCAGTGTGCTGTCCAAGCGTTGGAGGAGGTAAACGAATTCGATTCTGAGCTTGGCTAAACGTAACTGCAGGAGCAACAAGCTTCACTTCACCTGCGACAGGGTGTTCCACAGACTGTACAGCATTTGTCGCCAGTATGTGAGGATCTCTAAATACCTAGAAATAAAGATAAAAGCAATATGAAGATTTTGTAGTACTATACACTTTATCACACACTTTAAAAAAAAATTTCAGGGCACTTACATCAGAAATCCTGTTAACTGGTCCATAAGGAAAGGATGCTCCATCCAGTAACTCAAGCCATTGATCCCTAGTTTTGGTACAAAATTTGTCCTTTAAAATATGAAGGAGTACTTTTCTATTTTCTACTCTGAGTTTGTTACTGAGGAATCTTATATCCTTAGCTAGATCAGGGAGTTCAAATCTGTGACACAAGTCCACAAACTGTTTGTCACTTCCTGTGCCAACAGTTATATAACAGTCGTCCTTGGTGAGTAAAGCTTCATAAGGAACAATACTAGGATGGCTTGTTCCATGTCTTTGAGCTTCAACTCCACCATTCAAAAAATTAGAACCTATATTTATTAGTGAGGCGACTTGAGTTGATAGCAGATTAGCATCAATTTTTTGGCCCATTCCAGTTTTTGACTTTTGAATCAATGCTGCCATAATTGCGCCGTGGGCATACAGTCCTGTCATAATATCGGTTAATGCAACACCTACTTTGCATGGTTCTCCATCAGCTGGCCCAGTGATATGTAGCAAACCACCCATCGAAGCAGCAATAACATCATAGCCTGGGCGCTTACTGTAAGGTCCACAGGATCCAAAGCCAGTAATAGAACAATATACCAAATGTGGAGCAATCTTTTTGAAGTCATTGTAGCCTAGCCCCATTTTATCCATTTTACCGGGCACATAATTTTCAACGAGAACATCACTATGTTTAGCAAGATCAAATAGAATTTCCTTTCCCTCCTTTGATTTCATATCAACACATATACTCCGTTTATTTCTATTGACAGCTACAAAATAACAACTTTCAGTAGTCTTCCCTATGAATGGTGGACCCCATTTTCTGCATTCATCACCTTCGTTTGGCTTCTCAACTTTGATAACTTCAGCTCCAAGGTCTCCTAACACCATTGTACAATACGGGCCGGCAACAATCCTAGTCAAATCCAAAATTCTGACACCAGCAAGTGGATCTTCTGCAACACTACTCGAAAAATATTTTGATGAATTCTGGACATGCTGAGCAAATGATTGAACAACATTTTTGGGAGAAGGAGACGTCAATGGGACAAAGCACCTAACCAAGCTAACAGAGCGCAAGCAAGACATGTTGACAACGTATCGTCTAACACACTGATAAAGCGAGTGCCACTGCGCCCTCAAGGTAGGCCGGTCTGTCAGGTGGTATCCAGAACGAGACAGAGAAACATTTAGGTACGATTCAAGGCCGAACATACTTGCGGTGTTCTTTCGTCGTCACATTCGACTACTGTCACAGCTCCATCGCAGACTTGTTGTGGAGGTCTCTCTGCCATAATAATCACGTTCCACAAGATCAAGATGACCAAAATTTAATGAGCGGTCCAGACAAGACGGCAAGAAGTGATGAATCGGTGAAACCTCTTTCGAATTGATCAAAAATACACAGCACACAATACACGAGTTTGTCTGAGCGTGTCTGCGCCGTCTGCTCTGCGCAGTTCCGTCCGCAAACAACAACAAAATCAAAAAGAAAACAAACGACAAACAAACGAGTGCACCGGTCTGCTCCCCTACCTTAACCTAACTTTGTGACGGAAAAATATGTTTTTCGAACCGAAAGGCTAGCTAGAATTCAGTTTTACCTTTACATAGGGTTTGTTGTAGTACACTTTTTGTTTAAAGAAGAAACGCGTGTCGAATCACGATATCCTCAGTGTTTTGTTTAGTGGCTGGGGGGGGCATTACGGTTTATATCCATTTTAGTTTCCATGGTCAAGAGGTCTTGAAAATGAGTAAATATTCTACCGAATCGGATTCAAGTGATGGACACAGCAGAAAAAAGGGAAAGTCAAGTAGGAGGGGAAGGTAAATGCCACAAACATTAGACATGTGTTTTCTTAATTTTTTAAAGTTTGAGAATTATTTATTTTTCTGTTAATCAGATCTCCAAGCTCATCTAGTTCAGAGTCAGGCAGCCGACACCGTAGAAGAACGCACAAATCTGGTCACAGTAGAAGAAGATCTCACAGTTCTGATGTGAGCCATAAATCAAGGTTAGTATTATAGGTTATATGCCATTATTACATGCCAATTTTACAACCTTGTTGTATGTGTCACAGTCGAAGAGATAGGGATAGGTCTTCAGATCGCTCTCATGAAAAGTCAAAGAGCCGCTATTCACGTAGATCAAGATCATCATCAAGGAGTCGCAGAAGAAGATCTCGTTCAAGGTAAGTTATTTTTTTTTCATTTCAAACGGGTTTTGGTTTATTTATTCCATTCTTAATATGTCAAACCTTTTGTCCCAAGATCGCAATCTAAAAGTCATTCTAGAAGGAGGTCATCATCTCACAGTCCATCTCGATCTTACAAGAAAACACACTCTAGAAGGTCTCGCTCACGTTCAAAGGGTCACTCTAGGAGAAGATCATCATCCGGTTCAAGCGCTGAGTCTAAAGAACAGACTCTGAAAGGACGTCAGCCAGATGTAGTTAATCTTCCTGTTCGATCACAGTAAGTAATATTGAATAGTCATACAATATTAAATTTTTGGAGACATTGTAATGTTAATTTCAAGCACCCTTTTACTTGCTGTCCCTATTAGAGGTTCACCATCTTCACGTTCCCAACCTACTCAGGAAGCACCCTCAGCCTCCCAATCAGCACCTGAAGAAGCTCTTACAGAGAGACTACAAAAGGCAATTTGGGCTGCTAAAACTGCAGACCAGCAGCTTCGTAACCAGGGACTTATTGGCGCCAGGAAAGAGGTTGATCCAACTTGTAAGTGAATGGAGAGACCTTCAAAGTACCGAAACCCTTTTACTTGTTCTCAATAGGCTCCACTAGGACATTTGCTAATGTGCTAATCCTAAGTGTTCTTTTTCCTTTCTAGTTATGGTTCTTGAAGCTATAAATAGAAGTAACTTATTAGATGAAATAAACTCTGATGGTTTTTCCCCTCGCCAATTTACGTCTGGTGCAAAACGAGATGAGTATCCTATAGTTGTCGATCTTGCAAGTCAACCAGCGGTGCCCCCTCCAGCTCAAGTGAAGCAGGATCCTAAAGCCATTTTTCACTCAAGTGTATGTGTTTTGAAAGGTTGTCAAAATTTGGAAGACCAATCCTTACATATCAAAGTGCTTTGTCTAAGTTTTTGTCTCTTTGTATTACAGCTTTTAGTGGATGAACCTCAACGCCTTGAACGATGGATAAAAAAGCTTTATAGCATCCGTCAAAGAGCAATTAATGGAGAGCCTTTCACCTTCTCATGATGACAACCAACTACATGCTGTCTTATTGAAAATAAGAATTGGTAAGGTATTGGAAGATAGAAACCTCTAATCTTGGGGGGTTTTAACACTTTTTTATTTCAATTCATTTCTCACAATGTTTTAATGAAATGTGGTATATTTCAAATTCAAAACTACAAGTTTTATAATGTAATAAATACAACTGCTGTTCACTATAAACTGCACACCAGTTTTGGAATAAGAAAATCAGTTAGGTACTTACATCAAAACAAAAATGTGTAATTTGAATAAGTGTGGAATATCAGGAATTTGCCCTAATATTTCTTTTCTAAAGCTTTTTATAGACTTCAATAATGTATTTTAATCTGTATCTTTGCTTAAAATCAAACCTGTGACCAAATACTTAAGGTGTATAGTACTAATACTTAAGGTATGGTACTATTGTAATATGTCAAGAGAAAACAATTCCAAATGGGTACTTTGTGCCCAGCATGGGCTAGCGCCAGCATGGGCTTAATATAAAACTAACATGTTAGTGAAAAAAAAAGTCACACTGTTTCAGACTTCATCATTTTTATCAATCTCACATGAACTCTTTCCTGTTATCCATTTAAAAATGGAAGGCTAACAATGGAAGAAAAGATAGGACTTGAAATACTGTACTAAATAAGAATACTGAGAACATCAATAAGTATATGCATGTATGTGTGTGTTCACTGTTTAAAGAGTCCACAAACTTTGGCTTATATATTTAAGTCTACAGCTAAATTAAAATATCACAATTATATCAAGAGGAAACTATGCAGCACAATATAGTTTGAGCTGAGGAATGAATACATGAGCAAGTGCATGGTTGATAGAGTTGAATATTTCACTCATTTCCCTGGAAAGACCAGAGTTTCAATTCTGAAACTCACCATATTATATCTTTAGTTCCTTTAAAATATTACTTCATGCACTAACTGTGATTGTTGTGAAATGGTTTGATAACCACTCTTTTCTAAAGACACACAAATCTGCATTTCATCAAAGAAATAAGTCCACTGTGCAGTTTTCTCAAAGAAAAGTAAAGTTAAGCAAAACTGTGCCAATATAACTAACTCACTATCTGAAGTGGTTGCCACAGCACAGAAAGCAATATTGTAGTCAGTTAATGAACTAAAGGAGTTTGAGGAATCTAATAGAATAGACTTGTATGTTGTTGACTCCCCAGTGGAATGAAATGTTCTAATTAGGCCTCCCTCACTCCGTCATTCTCGGCTTCCACCATCTCTTGATAGTTGACGATTTCAACCTTCATTGTTTTTCCAGAGAACGAGCCAAAAACAACGGGTTCTTCGGCATTCCGCTTGAAAACTAGAAAGAAATAGACAACTGCTTAAGGATACTTTGGAAATGAAGGCAAGAAACTTAACTAAGCAATCATCACTTACTTGCTCCAAGGTTTGCCCTCACAAGTGAATAGATTTTCATTCCTGAACATTCTCGAGCAATGTTTTCACCAACAGTGCTCATGTCAGTCAGTGGTGGGAATGCTACGCGCATTGTCTTTACAATAACTTTAACATCTGATCCACGGCTAGCCATTTTGCGAGCTAGGTCAATGACAAAACTTGGCAAAAAGACAACAGCATCACGATCGAGTGGAATCACAAAGCATCGTCGACCATCCACATCAACAATGCCTGTTTTGTTCTGCAAATATTAATATGTATAAAAGCTTAACATCTCAATCTTACTATCAGATAAAAAGTGATAGATGTGATTGATTGGACTTGAAACTTACAATATGCCAGTCATGAATAAATTGACCAGGACGTCCACCATTAAATTCAGGAACATCAATTCGCTCATATGATCCATCAGCTTCAAACTTTTCGTAGAAATACCCACTTTTCTTGGTGTCTTTGGAGCTGATCTAAATATTACAAGGGAAAACAAACGTCAATGTTACAACCAATTTAAAATGAGCTCGACATCTTAGATAGATAGATAGATAGATAGATAGGAGCATCCTACAGGGCCAGGCAACATTGCCTAAATCCGATATTTTTTGCCGTCGGCACGGTACCCTGGACACTATAGTCCGGCCAGCCAAAGGTGACGCCTGGGTTTGCTGTAGCCGCCCATAAGAGCCCATGCTACGCCAGGCGTCACCTTTGGCTGGCCGGACTATAACGGCTGAAAATGGAGAAAGGGTGGCCGACCCAGGACCCTAGCTCTCCCTAAACAGAGCAGAAGCCAGATCCCCCTTCGAACGGGCGGAGCCGCCACCATTAGTAGCAAAAGGGGAAGCGGGCTGTCCCCGCGGCCCCCTAGGGGGCAAAGGTGGTGGCAACCCAGAGCAGTGTAAACAGGCAAGTGCAAAGCAGCATACGAAGGCACAGACGGCTGAAAAGAAGGCTGATGTGGCAGAGCAGAACCGTAAGGCGAGGGGGTTGAGAGACCAACGGTGGAGAGGCAAGAGGGTGGGGAGACGAGAGGGTGGAGAGACGAGAGGGCGAAGAGGCGAGAGGGTGGAGAGGCGAGGGGGCGGAGAGACGAGGGGGCGGAGAGACGAAAGGGTTGAGAGGCGAGAGGGTGAAGAGGCGAGAGGGAGAGGGGGGAGAGACAAGAGTGCGGAGAGACGAAAGGGCGGAGAAGCGAGAGGGTGGGGACACGAGGGGGTGAAGAGGCAAGAGGGCGGAGAGACGAGAGGAGAGGGCGGAGAGACGAGAGGAGAGGGCGGAGAGGCGAGAGGGCGGAGAGGCGAGAGGGTGGAGAGGCGAGAGTTTGGAGAGGCGAGAGGGTGGAGTGGCGAGAGGGTGAAGAGGCGAGGGGGTGAAGAGGCGAGAGGGAGAGGCAAGAGTGCGGAGAGACGAGAGGGCAGAGGAGAGGCGAGAGGGTGGAGAGGCGAGAGGGTGAAGAGGCGAGAGGGTGAAGAGGCGAGAGGGTGAAGAGGCGAGAGGGTGAAGAGGCGAGAGGGTGAAGA